CCCACGCCGTGATATTGCTTGAATATTGCTAAAAGCGGCGTGAAATCATACTCACTCACTCAGCCTTTCCCCGTTGTGGTCTCGCTTTTGCCAGCACCCCACAAAGGATAATGACAGGACAGACAGACAGACAGACAGCAGATCAGTTTCACTGTTTTTGCTTGCAGCCAAAGACCGTAGTGGCGTGGAGGCTTTTCTGAATTAAAAATTGCTTTTGTTTCGTTTATCACTGCGGTCTTTATTTTGTAGTCATATTACGAAACAATTTTGCCGGAAGTCTAAACAAACACGAAGTTGAACAGACTTGAGTAGCCTCCCTTTGAAAACGATTATTCATAATACTTACCTCGCAACTACCCCCAAATTGCAATGTTTGTTCAAAGCAATGAATATTTATCGTCCCAAAGCATTCTACAGAGCTAAACTTCATCTAAAACCTAAGAGTATTTGCATTTTTACGCCGCCTTTAGCCACATTCAAGCTATGTCACGACATGGGACCCTAAAAATTGGCGCATTACATAAACACGTCTTGTGGGTTTTCATACACGGGCTCACATGCATCATTGTCGTAACACGTATTCTTGTTGACGTTCCGAACTACGTCTCTCCCGTCAGCATGTAGACTGGTATAGTTGTCCATTTCAGCTGGACTGTTGGCATCACATGACCCCTGCTGGTCTGGTGGCCCCCTGCACTTCCTGTTCCTAATGCAATAAACACCAGTCCTGAAAAGTGAATATTGACATTATCTAAAACAGCACATTTGGTTTGTAGACTTTGAGTCCTTGTCTCGATTGAAATCAGTTGTGAGGTTTGTGGTACGAGGGTCGGTCAAAACGTAGTCGGCCTAACTATATTCTCGATGTCCAATGTTTTTGGAAAGCTTCCATTTTAGTTTGTAGGAATCATTAGCGAGGCCATATAAAAAAAATTCACATATGTGAGTAATGTGGTTAACGAGATATTAGTCATCACAACACATTGGGGTATAATATTTCTAGAAACAATGCAGCTTTCGATTGCTTGATTCATATTTAGTCGGGGGCTGTTTCTTTTAAAGACGCCCCAATTCTAATCTTTCAAAAACATTGTGTCTAGATATTCAAGCTGGCCCTGTTTACAATATACTGAGAGTTGACACTTGTGTGACCATTCAGTATTTACTTTGAACCTTTAGCATCATGTGTGAAAAAGTGAAAACATTAGAATAAGTTATGTCCTTGTCGTCGTCTGAAAGGGGGTAGGTAGTATCTCCAAAACAAGCTGTTTCAGTAAACACAAGCGATTGTACTTTCAAATTGCTTTTTTATACACTTTAATATCTAAGTTCGATTCTAGCGGACGTCTGCCTATCTCAAACAGACAAAATGTTTCTTGCATATTTTGTTACCTGAAGTTTGTGGTGCATTTATTGCAGATTTTGCGCTTTTGGGGGGTACCAAACAAAATGGGGATCGTAAGGCTGGAATGTAGCAAAACCAATTTGCTTGAGGTTGACAGATAATATGTAGAAAAATAAAACATAAAAACAGCTGCATTTGTATCATTTACAAGGTCAGGCCGATCACTTTTTGACTGTCCCTCGTAACTACAGCGTCTTCCGCAGGTGACATTATGATTTAGTCGGAATTGTACAATGGACATAAACGTTTCACTTACTCCCTCACTCACTCACTCGGAGAGGAACACATGGCAGTATCATACCTACCAGACAAGCGACGTGAGGACAATGGATGCGACAGAGGCGATGATGGTGTGAATGAAGTGAAGTTGGGTTGAGTCTGAAAATGTTAACAATATAAACATCACATTAAATAATATGCCATTACAGACTGAAGTATACAGTGTTCGTCCAACATTTAAATGCCTTTCAGGAACTTCAGATGATCTATGTTGACTCCGTTCTGGAATGGTAGTACGGAACATATATGGTATATACAAACAGTGTGTCCTACACGACAGTCGTGCCATCTGAGTGAGTGAGTGAGTATGATTTTATGCCGCTTTGAGCAATATTCAAGCAATGAAACGGCAAGGGAAATGTGAAATGGGCTTCACGAATTGTATCCATGTGGGGAACTGAACCCTGATCTTCAGCGTGACAAGTGGACGCTTTAACCATTAGGCTACCCCACCAACCCTTATACCATCTGACACAACCATGATAAGAGTGACGGTGTTCATTGTTATTATATTAAACTGTTTCACAGTTGACCTACCTTTCACTACAAACAGGTCACAAGGTCATTCAAACTTCTATAAATATAAAGCCATAATGAAAGAATACAATTCTATTCATAGCCCTCGAGGCGTAGAAGACCTTCCACATGAGCAATATGAAAGAAGAATATTCTGACTGTCCCTTACCCTTGTGTGGCTTAGGACGCAGTCGGAGTTCATTCTATTCCAATGACAACCATTCGTGTACTACGTACACATCTAGGAGTGAGTGCGTTTAGTTTTACGCCGCAGTCAGCATATTGCGGAGATCTGTAAATAATCGAGTCTGAACCAGACAATCCAGTGATCAAGTATGAGCATCGATCTGAGCAATTGGGAACAGATGACATGTGTCAACCAAGCCAGTGCGCCTGACAACCCGATCCCGTTAGACGCCTCTTACGACAAGAATGGGTTACTGTAGGATCGTTCTAACCCGGAGCTTCACGGGCACACATCTAGGATGCTCTTTATGGCATTAACAGTATGATCAGGTGTCTGAGTCATACTCAGTAATCAACAGAAAAAGAAGCATCCTACCATCAGTGAAGCAAGATCCAGAATAGCCTTGTCCACAATGGCAGATGCTGCTTGAGAAGCTTCCGTTGTTTAAACAAATTTCACTGCAGTTCTCGGATTGAACTAAGTCATCCTCCGACAACCGGCAGTCAAACAGACAGTCCTTATTGGATTGGCCTTCACAGCAACAAGGTGACCGTGACCTTGACCTTTGTCCCCCTCCTCATGTCTGGGTACAACTGCTCCAAGGTTGCCAAGCGTTCCAGGAACAAAGTTGGCAAGTCTGACTCTGGTCTACGTGAAGATATTATATTCTTGGAATTGATATGTTTCATTTGTTACTGGTTTACAACAACGTCATACAGCTGTAATACTGCTGGAACAAATATATGCTCATAACATAGTCACAATGTTATAGTCGAGATTTCTTATGGATGTGGAAAGGGTTTTGTCGTTTCACTTTATTAAATGCACTGATTCCGTTTGTCAATTTTCCCATACTATTGTTAATGTCATTATTGCGTGTTGTCCAGACAAACAAGTGAGCGATCCCGATCCTATTAGTCTACTCTTACGACAAGCATTGGACCTCGCATATTAGAGACGGCAGGGATAAACTGTAAGCAAATTGTACATATTGACGCGAAATGGTGAATTTTAGCAGGAACGTGGTTGACTGTGGTAACATTTTGAGTACTGCCATACCATGTCTCTCGCACTGTCTACTACATATTTCTTCATAGTGTGGCCTCTTGGAAGGTTTCAACCAAATGTTCATTTAGATCGTGACGGTGTATATATGCATATGACAGTTCTCACTTACAACACACTGACAGCATGGCCTTAACGTTCAATGCCTGGTGGTCTTTGTATTAGCTTGTTTGAGAGACCTTCAGAAGTTGGAGCAGGAAGATAGGATAACAATATATGAATAAACAACCTCTTTGTATTATTGCTAACATTAAGGTCTCAATAAATAAATAATTCGACTTGTATATGACAAACGCTTAGGATTTTAAGTGACACATACAGTATAACTGTTTCAGTCTATGACCCCACTCCTTACCATTCCCGGTGCAGTGTTTAGTGCAGACTCTCTCTTCAGTGCTCTTGTCCCGGAAGTTGCAATCAGCTGTACACTCAGTACTGCTCAACACGCTTTGACAACAGCGCCATCTTTGCCTGGTTCGTGTTGCATATCCACAATTTGTGCTGCAGTTTCCCCATGAGAACCAGTTCATCCACGTGCAGTGTCGGGCACAGTCACCAGACGCAGCCGTCTCGTCTGTGAAACATGTCATGAAATATTCCGGTACAGGACGTTTGCAGCCCAGCCTATACTATTTAGCATTGTCATTGATCAAACAATTTCATTTCTTTCAAACTTCTTCTATTCAAACGACCTGTTTGTTTCAATCTATGTCCAAAGTGCACCGAAATTCTATGTCTATTCTTTGTCTGTTTAATGTATTCAGCAAACATTCGGTGTATCCCATCTTATCATAACTCCCCTTCCGGGCTGAACCGTTAAGTCTCAATGCTATCGGATCTTACGTTTGTACATTTGCATTGTGAGTGGGTTGACCAACAAGGCGTAATGTCCTTATGTATTAGGCCTTACTGACAAAATCAGTCAGAGAGACGAATCGGAGATACGGTCTCCAGTCTTGGATTTTGGCCCAGATCATCGACAGAAGCTGACGGATTGAGCTGCTAGTCGTGGCGTCGGCCTAGGCGTCGATGAACAATCACCGTCCAACATCTGCAAGTGACAGAGCGGATCTCCACCCCATGTATATTGGCCACTCGGCTCCGGTGTGCGTTCTGTCACGTTGTTACCATCAACTTGTACCATTTCGACCATTATTCCCCAACCACTATAAACATGGCTGCCGCTGTCTTCCGTCTGTTGTCTACCATCCTAAACTGTATCCAATCTTATGGTCTGTCATGAATGACGGGAAGATGCGCCTTCTTTTTCCAACAAGCCCGATTCAAGAATAGTTCGAAATATGACAAAAACACACTCAGAAATGTACTGACAAACATTCTAAAAGTAATTATTGAGAATTATGAACAAGCAGTTACTATGTTTACTACAATGACCTTTACTCACAGCACATAACAACTCAAACAAGCCTACGATGCCCTATAATCTCACGACCAAAGAGACCAGGCATGACGTAACAGGGCTAGGTAACATAAGAAACAAACTTCATTGGTAAATCGAAAAGCTGATTATTAACCTATAACTCTCACCTCGTTCACAACAAATTCCATGTCTGAGAGGAGGACAGTGACAGTAGCCATCAATGTAGCTTCCACCATTGGGGCAGTGTGTCGCACATGGCTGTGTCTCCACAGACGTGTTGGGTCGGCGACATTTACCGATACAGTCTGGAACATGAACTCCACAGCACATCTTCCGTGTTCTGGTTTTCAGCCCAGCACATGTTCTGGTACAGGAGCTCCACACACCCCAACACTCCAACTCACAGGCCTGAAGCCCGGGTTCACACACACAGTCCACTAAAAGAGGCAGCACCACGGCGATGCTCACCTTCAGGAGGGTCATGTCGTTATTGTGACCTAACCTCGTTATCGGACAATGAAAACACTTTCCCTCAAATGAGGAAAACATTTTATCTTTCGCTTTATCTAGTCTTATTTGATCTCACTGAATATCCATGGCTTTCTTCCTAGGGATGCTGACTAATTCGTATCAGATTTGTGTTTATAGTGTTCTGTGGATACTATTTATGACACAGATATGTTGCCTTTTATCCTCAACTGAAAATATGCAAAGTCAGTGAAACAGATTACCAAGTTTTGACTATCATGAGAAGTCGATTCCATTTGCTGTGAAGGACCAAAAGAGTCATACAAATCACACGAACGGACCACTGAATGATGACACCGGGTGTTAGCAGAAGGGTAAGCATTACGTGCCTTAAAACACATGCATTTATGAAACTTGATGTGAACAAAATCCAATAAATTTTTAAAAACAAATGTTGCTGAAGTAACAAACAATATTCAGGACTGCTTCAAATGCTCTCTGTAAAAGGCTAGTTCGTTCGGAGTGTAGCATGTGCATAGTTTAGATCATGTCACGACAAGCAACAATGATAGAAAATGGGTTAAGGGAATGCTCGGATCGTGACGTCGCACGTCAGTGTAGCGTCCACATGAATACAACGTAGAACGTGACGGCAACAGAATATCACGGCAGAGAACGTCAGACCACAAACTCGAGATAAGTGTACGGATGTGTGGCAGTGTTGTTCACTGGGAAACAATGCCAATGTTCCACGTGTATAACATTGTAGCTAGGGCGGGGGTTACAGTGGTCTGCTATATTTGGACTTAATGTTTAGACGGTGTTCTGGAAAGTACTACTGGTTACTACAAATCTGTGGGCCTTTCCATTATGTTCTGACCCGCTAGGGGAGCTAAATCTTGCTTATCGTCTCACATTACATCCCATGTTACAAGACGACCAGCAATTGTGTGGAAATCATTCTTTCCTTAGATACACTTGACTCTTGTTGCAGTGAGATGAATGTTACCATCTTAGGATTCGCTTTTGAGGTGATGCAAAGAAGTTAAAGATTCTTTCCTTCAAAATACGCCCGAGATTCCATGAATGATTCCTAAAATCTTTTGTTCTAAAATCTTACATTCTGTATTCCATCCGTGAAATGTATTTTTCCCTCATATAATCTAATGCCTGGCAGTGAAAAACATTTTATTCACGCCGATTGGTTGCTTTTTGTTTAGGATTGTGTATGCTATCAAATTTGTCTTTTTGTACCTTTTTAACCTCGTTGTTGTTATCGTGTATGTCACTTGTGCTCTGATCAAGAGATGTTTAAATTACTCTTTCTGCTTTTCGTTATCGTTTATGGGGCAGTGACGTTAGCCTAGTGGTTAAAGCGTTCATTGTGGGAAGCCCTTTTCTGGTGTCCCCAGCCGATTGTTGGTATATTGCTAAAAGCGACGTAAAATCATTCTCACCAACTCTTTTTCGTTTACTAAAGGTATTTCCTAACTTTATCACTCACGTCTGTCCTAGTTAATTGTTGATCATTGTTGCTATCTTGCATGTTGTGTAAGTTGATTATCGAATGGGGAAAAATTTTGAACACCTAGAGCACGTAGATGTGTCGGGAGGATTCGGTACTCTACACTATATTTTTAAATCGTAGAACATGTTTCTCAATGTTTGGTCAAATTACAGCATATGCTTGACACTTTTAATTATGTATATATCACGAACATGATAGACCTTCAAATGCATACGTATAGGGCATTTCCTTTGAAGCCTTTTTAAATACAAATCACATTTGTAATAGGATGGTCTATGCAAGACATGAAACCGTTGACGTTTAAATCAGTTTGATTTTGTGCTATATCCATTAAATCATTTATCGCACGTGTATACATCTACTGTTGTAAATGTGACCTCGTTACTTTGGGAGGATGTTATCATGAGTACCTTCTACTGAGTTAGGATCTGGCATATGTCAAGAACATGTAAAAATGAAGTTAAGAAACGGAGTTATTTTCGTTTTCGTTTGAATTGGAAATACATGTAATCGTTTTGATTTGGGAACCCTTACCTCAGTTTGTCCCATACAAATGTGATACACTCGTATAACAGTTGTCTGACGACTTAGCCACAGAAGTAATCAAAACATTTATTCTACCTTTGTATAATTTTCATCTACATAAAAAAACACATCAGTTTGGGCCAAGGGATTAATTCAAAGTGCTTAAATGTTTAAAATAGTCCCCAGTGCCTGTTATCAGCCTGTGTGTTCTATCCTACCCTTTGCCTCGGGTGTTTGTAACAGCTGGCGAACTCATAAACATACTTGCTTCTGGCCGTTCTGTAGCCTGGACATGTGTCAGTAACTTCACAGCGATGAGGAAAATACCCATATCTATCGAAACAAGGAAGTACTGTATACAAGGAAAGTCTGTCGTTAACCTGTTTGAACAAAGATATAACTACAGGGACTCTATCTGAAAGTCCGGGTTAGAATGAACCTTCAGTAACCCATGCTTGTCGTAAGAGGCGACTAACGTGATCAGGTGGTAAGGCTCGCTGGCTTGTTGACACATGTCATTGGTTCCCAATTGCGTAGATTGATGCTCATGCTGTTGATCACTGGATTGTGTGGTCCAGACTCGACTATTTCTAGACCGCGCCATAAAGCTTGAATATTTCTCAGTGCGGCGTAAAACTAAAACTCACTCACTCACTATATCAAGCACTGTGGCTCAGAAAGTCCTATTACATTTGAATTAGTCTTCAGCCAACCATGCTTGTCGTAACAGGTGACTAACGGAAATCGGGTGGTCAGGCTCGTTGACTTGGTACATGTCAAGTCGCTTTTATTCCAGCACTGAAGAAGCCACAGGACTATAGTATAAAGTCAGATGACAATAATGGCATACAGTCACACTGTGTACAGACGGTGTTTTTTGTATGCAATCGCAGGGTGAATATACATACCCAGTTGGCAAATATCAACTGTATTATTAGTGTTCATTAACAGAACAGAAGATTTATGTACAGTGTTGCAAATACCGCTATCTTGCCTTTTACGCAAACAGTTTTGGCTGATAATCGACAGTTGGGTTTTATTTTAGCATTTCCTGATACATGTCAGCCACAACATCAAGCTGGTGTGGAATAGAAACTATATAGAATGTATATTACATGTAAATATCTGATTTCACTTTTGACTTTCTCACGTGACACCTGTCTTCAAACTGAATCTAATCTTTCACAATGAGAGTAACAAATACACCCATGAACAGATAAAATACCGGCCACCCTATCCATGGATAAATGACCTACAGGTAAAATAACTGTGTTATAACTGTTTGTTATTTAACCCCGCACTCGCCAATATTACAGCTATTTGGCGTCGGTCTGCAAATAATCGAGTCGTGACCCGACCATCGAGTGATCAACAACATGAGCATCAATCTATGCAATTGGGATACGACCACCCAATCCGGTTAGTCGACTCTTACGACAAGCATGGGTTGCTGATTATCGATTCAAACCCGGATCTAAACGTCGTCCAAACACACGCTCTCACTTCCTCTCCAGATACAGCTGTAGTCTAGCAAACAGCGTATTTGTTCTCAGTTAAGCGTAGCTGGGATGAAAACAAACTGATATGAATAGTGCGAAAATATGTTTTGTTCTGAAAAAATATCACCGTCTGTACTGTCAAACAAGCCAACATATCACATCTATATAAGTTGCCTACATGACCTAACTGCTACGAAGAAAAGTATATGTAATGTAGACAATTGATTCCTTATAGACACATTGTCCATACAGCCGTGATTCCAGAACAAATCAGAAAACCCACGTGTTTAAGGAATACAAGTAGTTTAATTATCAGAAATGAAAATAGTTGATACAAAAATGAAACACAATTAACCAAAACTATTGTAAACAGTGCCCAACAGATATTGTTCTAATCTGCATAAACGGAAACTACTAAAACTGTGATGTTATACGATACATTGCATTGGCAAGTGTAACAGAGATAAATATCGATGGTGAATGGCAAACAGCCTATAAATCAACGCGGTGAAACATGCTGAAGGCATGGGTCACATTGTAAAAGTAAAAGGTATTGACACATAAAGGTGGTGGGTGGATAATAACAACTAACATGTAAATAAAAAACCTCTAAAGATGACAGAGATTATAAACAATATATGTGGTGAATGTGGTGAATGTTGAACAGGATATTTGTAGCGAGTTGAGTACAAAGTCAAATAGACAAACTGAAAATTGGCTTTCGGAATTGTCACTGATGTTTTTGTTACAATTGTTAGTTAAAAGATCAGTGAAAGCGAAGACAATTGTTTTGATAACAACCTGTTCATTATTTACAAAGGCATTTTATGGATCTGTTTGCCCGTTCTTGGCAGAATCCTCAAAATAGACACACAAAAACAGCCTCGAAACTTTGTAAGAAACAATGAAGGACATATTATGCACAAACGCTTCTTGACTTCCGGCTTGTCGCTGAAGAAAATGTCTATTCATTATACACGCTTTATCTTCTGTGTTACGTGATCATTATTGGTATATTATTCTTATTTTGTTAACACTGTACTTGATCACATATCTATGCAATGTCTCTAAGAGAAATAGTAAGATTTCGGGGGGTTTTTTCAAAACGGAACGTGCACTGGACATTTTATTGGTGAGGAAATAAAAGGTGTTTTGGGGTAATAAAACTTCTGTGTGAGGAAGAGAAAGTGGTTGGTCCCTAATTGGTTTGAACATGGTGTTTGATATGCGCTGATTACAAGGGCACAAGTTGGAAACAAGAACAGCAACAACCTACAGCTTGTTCAGCTTGACCTGATCAAGTGAATACTAATGCTTTGCATGACCGTGTCAAAGCTGGTTGGGTCTATTATTGTGAAGGGGTGCATCTCTGTCAGGTGTCAACATGTCCCAACAGCCGAGACAAGGTCGTCGTTTAACATTCTCTGCTCCCCTATTTAATGAGGTTAACTCGACCTGCCGTTTGTGCCATATGACCTCCTGGGTCATGCATATGTAGAGTAGCTCAGGTCAAGCTGAACAAGCAAGCTGTATACATTGATAAGGACAAGACAATTCATTACTTATGTAACAAGTAGGCAAGGTTAACAGCATAACAAATGCAAAAGACAAATCGTAAATCGAGTTAACAAAGACATCTATAAAACGAAGATAGATAACTTGCTGGGTCCAGCACATGTGTCTCAAAATTCCGTGTCTGAAAGATTAACTTTCATTCTTAATAGAATTTAGGAAGGTTGCTCTATATCTATATTTACAGAAATATCGAAACGAATCTGAGAAGATAAAAATTATAAAATATTTCAACGATAGTATGGTACTTAAATCATAATCACCATATTTTGATTAACTTTGTATTAACATTATTCGTGAATTAAACGTAATGCTACGACTGAAGGGTTTAGTTTATCTTACTTTTCGCGTAAGAATGTGTTTAAACTATTTCCCTTCCTTCCTGGGTGGTGGGGTAGCACAATGGTTACAGCGTTTGCTCGTGACATGGAAGATCCGAGTTCGATTCCCCACTTGAGCGCAATGTGCAAAGCCAATTTCTGGTGTCCACCGCCTTGATGTTGCTTGGATATGACTAAAGCAGCGTAAAACCATACTCACTCGCTCATTCCTTGCTGTGGTCTCGCTTTTGTAAATACACCCATAACGTAATGACACGACAGCCAGACAGTTCACATTTGTTTTTTGCTTGCACTCAAAGACCGTAGTGGCGTAGAGGATTTTCCGAATTAAAAACAGCTGAAAAAGCTTTTCACAGCGGCCTTTATTTTGTAGTCATGTTACGAAACAACTTGACCGGACAGTCTAAACACACACGAAGTTGCACAGACTAGAGTAACCTCCCTTTGAAAACGGTTCATAGTACTTACCTCGCAACTACCCCAAAATTACACTGTTTGTTCCTAACAACGGATATGCATCGTCCCAAAGCATTCTGAAGTACTAAACATCATCTATGAACTTCCACGTGGTTCGGTGTCAAGAAAGGTCCACAATAATTATATCTAACCACTGAACCTCCTTTTGGTACTATTATCATACCCAAAACGAAAACATGACAAACACATTGACACAATCTGTATTGAGACAACATAACCCTTGAGGCGAAGAAGACTTTCCACATGTGTGCTATGACAGAAGTTCATTCTGGCTACCTCATGCCAACGTGTGGCTCAAGACACTGTCGGAATTGTACATCACGTCCTGCTTTTAGCAGAGATTTCTTACGGAAAATGGTCTGTTGCTCGTTTAGCGCCACACTCAGCAATAGTCCAGCTATAGGCGGTGGTCTGTTTATAATCGAATCTGGACCAGACATTCCAATGAGCAACATCACTCTACGCAATTGGGATTTGAACAACGGCGGCGAAAACCTTCAAAACCTCCATATTCTGATCCGAGCCGTGTTGTGATTGATAAATGTTTAACAAGTTATAACCGAACGTTTAACCGAAAAAATAGTCGGCATTACATAAAAGTGAGTGAGTGAGCAAGTTGAGATTTACGTCGCCTTTAGCAACATCCAAGCTATGTCACGGCAGGGGACACCAACATGGGCACATTACATAAACAGGTCTTGTGGTCTTTCATACACGGGCTCACATGCATCACTGTCACAGCATGTATTCTGGTTGACGTTACGAGCTACGTCTCTCCGATCAGCTTGTAGACTGGGATAGATGTCCATTTCAGCTGGACTGTTGACATCACATGATCCCTGCTGGCCTGGTGGCCCCCTGCACTTCCTGTTCCTGATGCAATAAGCAGCAGTCCTAAAAAAAGAATATTCGTATTATCTAAAGAAGCATCTCTTATATTTTACTTTACATTGAGATATTGCCTTGTGTTGTCTTTTCGTCAGTAGGACGCTCTGTATCTGTATCTGTATTTGTAGACTTGGAGGCTTTGTCTGGATTGAAATCAGTTGTGAGGTTTGCGTTAACTACAGCGTCTGGCGCAGCTGACTTCATGTATATCAGTCAATAAACAAGGCTTATGATTACAATTTAGTCAAAATCGTACAACAGACATACACATTTCTTATGCCCGTGGGATCTTTTGAATTTTTTTGTATTGTTAGATTCATTAAGTACATATTCGAATTGAATAATATTAAGTCAGATGGGTACATGGGAACAATGCGTGGAGCCCACTCCCTCCTTGAGCCGTCCCCCTTCTCTCTCCCTCCCTCCCTCACTCACACACATGACAGTAGTGTCGGAACATAGTCGGAATCATACAATGGACATAAACTTTTCACTCACTCACTCACTCACTCACTCACTCGGAAAGGTACACATTTCAGAATCATACCTACCAGACAAGCGACGTGAAGACAACGGATGCGACAGAGGCGATGATGGTGTACATAAAGTGAAGTTGGGTTGAATCTGAAACTGTTAACCAATATATACATCGCATTAAATAATATGCCATTACAGCCTGAAGTATACAGTGTTCGTCCAACATTTAAATGCCTTTCAGGAACTTCAGATGATCTATGTTGACTCTGTTCTGGAATGGTAGTACGGAACATATAGGGTATATACTAACAGTGTGTCCGACACGACAGTCGTGCCATCTGCGTGAGTGAGTATGGTTTTAAGCCGCTTTGAGCAATATTCCAGCAATAAAACCGCAAGGGAAACGTGAAATGGGCTTCAGGCATTGTATCTATGTGGGGAATTGTACCCTGGTCTTCATAGTGACAAGCGGACGCTTTAACCATTAGGCTACCCCACCACCCCTTATACCATCTGACACGACCATGATAAGAGTGACGGCGTTCATGGTTAATATATTAAACTCTTTCACAGTTGACCTACCTTTCACTATAAAAAGGTCACATTGTTTCACGTCGACAGTTCCATGTCTCTCTCGCTTACACTGGGCGTCACACTCGTTCTCCTTCTGCCCCACACGACAGCAGAGGGATCGCCTTCTCGTTACCTCCCCGTTCTTAGAGTCATTGCAAGATCCCCACCGTCCCCACATCCCCAAGGTGCATTTTGTACACTTGCCATCAGTTACCTCTGAAATGAAATTAGAAAGGTTTCATTCAAAATTCTATAAAAAAAAGCCATAATGAAGGGATACGAATTCTATTCATAGTCCTCGAGGCGAAGAAGACCTTTCACATGAGCACTATGTATTCTGGCTGTTCCTTGCCGTTGTGTGGTTTAGGACACAGTCGGAGTTCATTCTATATCAGTGACAACCTTTCGTGTACTACGTACACATCTAAGAGTAAGTGAGATGAGTTTTACGCCGCAGTCAGCAATATTCCAGATATATAGCGGCTGTCCGTAAATAATCGAATCTGGACCAGACAATTCAGTGATCAACAGTATAAGCATCGATCTGAACAATTGGGAACCGATGACATGTGTCAACCATGTCAGCATCCCTGACCACCCGATCCATACTCAGCAATCAAAAGATAAAGAAGCATCCTACCATCAGTGCAGCAAGGTCCAGAATAGCCTTGTCCACAGTGGCAGATGCTGCTTGAGAAGCTTCCGTTGTTGAAACAAACTTCACTGCAGTTCTCGGATTGAACTGAGTCGTTCTCCGACAACTGGCAGTCAAACAGACAGTCCTTATTGGATTGGCCTTCACAGCAACAAGGTGACCGTGACCTTGACCTTTGTCCTCCTCCACACGTCTGGCTGCAACTGTTCCATGATTGCCAGTTGTTCCAGGAACATAGTTGGCAAGTCTGACTCTGGTCTACGTGAAGATATATATTCTTGGATTTGATATGTTTCATTTGTTACTGGTTTACAACAACGTCATACAGCTGTAATACTGCTGAAACAAATATATGCTCATAACATAGTCACAATTGTACAATCGACATTTAGCAGAGATTTCTTATGGATGTGGAAAGGGTTTAGTCGTTTCACTTTATTAAATGCACTCATTACGTTTGTCAATATTCCCATACTATTGTTAATGTCATTGTTGTCGAGTCATCCAAGTCAGCGAGTTCGATCCGTTAGTCGACTCTTACGACAAGCATGGCACCTCGCATATTAGAGACGGCAGGGATAAACTGTAAGCAAATTGCACAAATTGACGCGAAATGGTGAATTGTAGCAGGAACGCGGTTGACTGTGGTAACCATTTGATGACTGCCATACGATGTCTCTCGCACTGTCTACTACATATTTCTTCATAGTGTGGCCTTCAGGAAGGCTTCAACCAAATGTTCATTTAGATCGTGACCATGTATATATACATATGACAGTTCTCACTTACAACACACTGACAGCATGGCCTTAACTTTCAATGCCTGGTGGTCTTTGTATTAGCTTGTTTGAGGGACATTTAGAAGTTGGAGCAGTAAGAAAGGATAACAATATATGAATAAACAACCTCTTTGTATTATTGTTAACATTAAGGTCTCAATAAATCAATAATTCGACCTGTATATGACAAACGCTTAGGATATTATGTGACACATACAGTATAACTGTTTCAGTCTATGACCCCACCCCTTACCATTCCCGGTGCAGTGTTTAGTGCAGACTCTCTCTTCAGTGCTCTTGTCCCGGAAGTTGCAATCAGCTGTACACTCAGTACTGTTCAACCCCCTTTGACAACAGCGCCATCTTTTCCTGGTTCGTGTTGCACAGCCACAGTTTGTGCTGCAGTTTCCCCATGAGAACCAGTTAATCCACGTGCAGTGTCGGGCACAGTCACCAGACGGAGCCGTCTCGTCTGGTAAACATGAATAGGATGTTTGTTAGGGTAACCTTGTAGCTACTACATTGGTGTTTATCTGATCTTCATTTTTTTTAGCTCAACTAACCATTCTCCTAACTTGGGTTTGCATTAGTACATTGCATTAGCTACCGCATACATTTTCAAGATAATAGCTATTCAGATTATTTGCATTAAAGCACCTTATGTTATGTGTTTCCAATAATATTTCACTGCCGCTTTGTGTAGTGTGAACAGGGTAAACAAACACGTTCTCCGTACATTGGTTGGCACTAGAGAAGAGAATTTATGAACGATGTTGAGCTTATTCTGTGTACATGATGAAATATGGGCATCTTCGCGAGGTCGTACTAATACCGTTGTTGTCCGTATACGATGCGGGTATGACCCACGTGTGGAGCTGACACACACAGACGTAATATAGATAAATATATTTGTCATATAGATTATACATCATAGACATTTCATCTAAAACAAACAGATGCTGACTGGTACACAAGATAAATGCAAAGCTGCAAATCATTCATTAAAAATCCATATTAGCAACAAACAGGGCTTGGTGACTTGAGAACTAAACTCCACGGTAAATCGAACAGCTGATTATTAACCTATAACTCTCACCTCGTTCACAACAAATTCCATATCTGAGAGGAGGACAGTGACAGTATCCATCAATGTAGCTTCCACCATTGGGGCAGTGTGTCGCACATGGCTGTGTCTCCACAGACGTGTTTGGTCGGTGGCATTTACCGATACAGTCTGGAACATGAACTCCACAGCACATCTTCCGTGTTCTGGTTCTCAGCCCAGCACATGTTCTGGTGCAGGAGCTCCACACACCCCAAGACTCCCACTCACAGGCCTGAATCCCGGGTTCACACACACAGTGCACCACCAGAGGCAGCACCATGGCGATGCACACCTTCACCAGACCCATCTCAGGACATTGAATATCTTAAGGAAATAGGAGGAAACGTTTTGTCGAAGACATACAATAATGATATAAACATAATACTGATGTTATGCTGGTTATTTGGGTATACATGTATTACATATTCACAGATCTATCAGTATAGATCTTAGATATCGATAATCGATAAATAAATATGGATCGATTACCGAGAATATCGGAGACGTAACTATGAGTACTGGTGAGTGGTGACATGTTTTTCCATGACATCATCCTGAGCATAATATAGAGACAGGCCACGGTGGTGGAATAGGGCTGGCTTTTCGATGATCGATAATCGGAAATATCGTCAATAGTGGTACTTATTGGTGGTACTCAGTCCACCACCGTGGACAAATAATCAATGTTAATAACATCCTAACTGTTAAAGAAACAATGAAAACATTAAGGTATTGTCATCAATGATAAGGAATATAAACTGGATCAATATCAATGATGATACTGAACTATTTCTGGATGGAACTGAGGACAGTTTATATGTTGCTATCAACACAATTAATGCATTTTATAAAATGTCAGGTTCGAAAATAAATTTAGATAAATCAAAAGCACAGTACATGTATATAGAAAGGGATTGCAAGATACAAAGCTTATAGACTTTCAATATAGATTTCTACAAGGCATTATGTACTAGGAATGTTAGGAGACTCAAACCTTTTGGATAAACCTACAAATATGGCTTAACAATTTTTATCCACATTCATTGAAATTATCAAAAAACATGCTTTGACTACTAAATCACATAATCATTGCTTCGAAGAGACATATTTACTTATGCAGTATTAAAAATATGCTTCCAAATCTAACTTTATATATAAAAACTCTAAAAGAAGTATTCTTTGTGGAAAATCATATATCAACAAAAACAATAATAAATAAATAATTTCCATCATAAATGGACCTTCTCTCCCCAGTACTTAGATGACTCAAAATGTATTAATTTGTGCCTGACATTATCTATACATTACCTATTTAATGAATTATGCATGTTTATAAAAATATTAATACGTTATATCTCACCTGTACATCATGTAGCCATATTACTTTAAGCCGTATGTAATACGGTTTTGTATATCTGTAATATTTTAATCTTGGGAACCAATAAAAACATTTTTTTAAAAACCAAAAAACATCCTAACTGTTTAATCGGCATTCTACAAGTTTGTGAGTAAATAAGGAAACACGCAGTTTTATGGATAACAACTTCTTGTAATGATAATAATGACCATTTATAAAGCGCCTGTTTCCATGCACTTGTGTATGCTCAAAGCGGTTACGCATTATTACCCCGGATAAGCCAAGGTGCCAGAAGGTTAACCGTCATATGACTTATCTCACCGGGTACTCATTCACTGCTGGGTGAACAGAGGCAGTTCATGAACAAACGCACCTGCTTAAGGTGAGACCACATTTGTCACGTGTGCTTTGTTGTGGGGCAGGAATGAAGTCCTAGAAACTCTCAGCAGTCAAGTTGCCAAACACGATCACCCATCCAAAGACTGTCCGCGACCAACGTTGCTTAACTTCAACTGATTTGCGATCTAGGCTCTATGCACAAAACCACACACAACCTTTTATTTCTTTTGCATTTCAATGACCGGCGTTCTTAGCTTATCCTGTACATTTATCAAACTAAGGTGTAAAAATATACACTCTTCAAAAATAAAGATTTCACTGTTTAAAAGGGTGTAAATTCACATGTGCATAGACAAAGAGTTCGCCAACACAACAACAGCTTTTATTGTTGTATTTCTGTTTACTTGAGTCCACAAGATGGCGTCCAAGTCAATGCTTTGTATGACCACCATTGGCAGCAATTACTGCTCGGCACCGTCTCGGCACAGACATAGAATTCTTGGCCACTCTTTCTGCAATTCGATGGCGAGTTGTGGAAGTGTCTGAGGCGTGTTTTGACGTTGACGTACACGTCGATCGAGTTCATCACATGTGTTCTATCGGGTTTAAATCTAGTGATCGGGAAGGCCATGACAAGACCTTGACGTTAGAACTGGCAAGGTAGCGGACCGTGACACGTGCTGTATGTGAAGTAGCGTTGTCATGCTGGAACAACTCCCTCTGTCGGTCCATAATCGGAAGCATGTGACGTGCAGGGACTTCGTTGATGTACAGATTTGCTGTCAACTTCCCCTGAACCAGCACTAAATCAGATCCTTATGTGCTGGATGTCACACCCCACTCCATGACAATCTCTCCACCGAATACGTCGACGTCTCGAATGCAATTAGGGGCAAAGCGTCGATGGTGAACACGCTGTCTTCCATCTCGCCAGTAAGAAATCGTGATTCATCCCTGAACCAGACTCGCTTCCAGTTTCTAAGGTTCCAGCTCCGGACACCACCGCACGCGAATGCGCCAATAGAAGTCTCTCATAACAAGGGAAGCAAATGGCCTTGTTGATTGAATCCCCCTTTCACGTAATCGATTCCTGACAGTTTGGTCGGAAATTCTTCTCAAATAGGGATGGGGTGTGCAGTCTTTGAGGCTATTGCAAGACTTTTGTTGACATGAGTCCCATCCGGAATTCGAACACACATCCTCAGATTCAGGCACCAAATCGCTAACACACAAAGTCAGCCATCTAACCCACTTAGCCACGGCGGCTTCCACAAAAAAAGATGTCGGACAACTGGTAGTCTAGACTGCGGACTTTGTGTACCCCTCTGATAAGCGTCTGATAATTGGCACGACTCCCACAGCCGAAAGCTGTGAATACACAATGCCATTTAGAAAGTGGTCAAATATAACATAATGTTACATTTGGGATTACACTTTCTTAGTAAAGTACAAATTTTAGTACTTTTGTTGGCTTGAGTCCCATCCGGGATTCGAACCCACACCCTCAGAGTCAGGCAGCTAATTGTGTGTTGGCGATTAGATGCCAGACTCTGAGGATGAGGGTGTGGGTTAAAATTGCCGCGTTTTTGGCACTGCAGCTGTTTACAATTACGCAAAGATGACGTTTTGTAAAGTAATAGTACATTTGTATGGTTTTTGCCGCAGCTACATGAGTAAAACAATTCTCAAAATCACCTATGCGTTTCTTTTTTTGAAGAGTGTACATGGTAACGTCGCTCTGTGCATTAAACGACAAGGTTTTGTTTCCTTGTTGAATAAGATCCATATCTATATTTTGTCAGTGTGTTTGTTTGTTGTTTAACGCACTCAGCAATATTCCAGCAGTTTGGACCATATAATCCAGTGATCAACATCATGAGCATCTAACTACGCAATTGGAATACGATGACATGTGCCACCGACCCCGTTAGTTGCCATACTTCGTCCATACTTCGGGATGTATGTGTTTCTCTCTGTGTGTTGTGTGTCCCTGTGTGTGTGGAAGGGGTGTGGGTGTGTGGATATGGGTGTGTAGGTGGGGTGGGGTGGGGTTGGAGGAGATGTGGAGGGTGGGGAGTGTGTGTGTATGTGTGTGGGGGTCGGTGGGGGTGGGTGTGGGATATTGGTATGGGTTTGGGTCTCGGATGTGTGTGTTTGTGTGGTCGTGTGTATGTTTGTGTGTTTGTGGGGTGGGTGTGTTGATATGGGTGTGGCTGTGGGTGGGTGTATGCGTGTAGGGGGATGTGGTGGGTGGGTTGGTGTTGGTATGGGGTCGGGGGTGTATGGGGGATGTTGTGGGGTATATATGTGTGTTTGTGTGTGTGTGCTGAGAATTCTTGTCTCTGTGTCAGTGTGTGTGAGAGTATATGTGTGCACGCGCGTGCGTGCGTGTGTGTATATGTACGTGTTTGTCTCTCTCTCTGTCTCTGCGTGCTTGCGTGTATGTGTGTGTGTGCTGCTGCTGCTGGACAAATGCTGATTTTACAATGAATGCTAGCCCACCGAGATACAATCCTTCACGGTGTTGCCTGTACGCGGCAAATCACTGACAAGTCGGCCATGTGTTTGACACGTTGCGCAATCCGGAAACCCTCGAGCTACATATTGCCGATGCCAATCATACACGTAAACAAGTAACACTGACTGAATTAAGCGACGTATTGTCTAACTAGGGAAAGGTTGTCCCAATGTTGGAGACCCAAGGCATGATGTGGCTATGCTTACAGAATTAGCTTTCATAATCTCATCAGTTAAACGACATGCATGTTTTACAGTATTACGTCTATATCCGTACAGTGTAATTATAAACGGTTTTCGAGAGCACGTGTTAGCATCATTTAGCATCACGTGTTTAGCATCATGACAATGGTCACAGTTTTTATTACTATGGACATGTTTGTATGGCTTGATTTATTCTGTATTGAACAATTGACTGTCACTCCAAGTAAGATTGACTAGATGGGTACAATGTCTGAAGCCGACTCACTCACTCAATCACTCTTCACTTCAATCACATGTACAATGATAACTTGAAAACTTAAAACTACTGGTGTGACGATTCATCGATACACATCGATGCATCGATCCATGGGCCGCCGATAAAGTGAATCGATACAAAGTTTTACGTTGTCGTATATCCCGATACGATACTTCAAATGGGACACGATACATCGATGTTTTACTTTGAATATTGCCAAATAGCGATATCTGTCACTTTTGTTTGATGATTAAAATATATGCATACTTATTTTCCCTTCATAAGTTTCTCGGAAATTCTTGCGTCAGGAACTGTGTCAAACATAGCGATCCCATTTTATTAACTTTCACAAAGTCAGTGTATAAACCTTATTATCTCATTTCTCAATGAACATTAAAAAACCGCTGGCGCAATTTGACGAATTTTAAAATAGTTTTGTTTTTATCTTAATGTGTTTTACAGTTGGTGTTAGACTTAAAAATTTTAATATTGTGATACGTATCTTATCGCCACCCTTGTATCGGGATTCGCATCGTATTGCAGCTTAAGTGCACGATACTTTGGCAATAAATCGAGGTGACTAAAATGTTAGTATCGTAATGTATCGTATCGCAGGTTGTATGCCAATACCAGCACTACTTAAAACGTGTTCAAACCATTAGTCCTACTCGTGATCAATTGTTTTCTCCATTTCAATCATAGAGATGTAGATACAAAAGACGATCACAAACGTGTTGATTTCAGGGTTAGCGTCATGAAACCTGTTCATGCTCTGATACAGAGCGCAATTGAAAAGGTAGGCAGAAATCGTGAGGTAAAACTTACGTGGATGGCAGTTGGCAAGTCTGCTGGACGTGGTCCAGTGAGTTCAAACAATGTAAACTAGACTGTTTATTCAAAGATTGTATTACAACTTAAATGATTAACGCTCAATTTTTCTTCCCCATAATATGTTTTACTTGTTGATATAATATAATGTCGATGTTATTATGCCAATAAAGGAATTTTTGTGAATCAATCGTTCGTCTTTGTTCACTGGGTTATCATGACCCAAATACTAGTAATAACGATATCGAGTGCAAAGGACAATATAATAATGCGATATTTAATAAGGCGCTTCATATATAGTCGCATTTTTCGCATTAATAAGTACCTCGCATTATTTTATTGATTTACAGTATGTATTTAGCGGACGGATCAATTTCTGTTTGTATTGTCCAATTCTAATAGGAATTTGCGATCTTATCTTTTTGGCGACAATATCCGCCATTTCTTCGTCTGGGACAAATAATCCGAAGAGGAACTTATCTACTTTTAAATAATAAATTTAACAAGGGTGAAGACATTGATGGAACCAAATAGGGCAGCTATGAGACAAGATGACGGATGTAAATGAACCTGGCTCTCACCGCGTGCATACATTAATCAATGTTCACGAAAACACAACTGACGTCAGGAGAGCCTTTGATCAATCTGTGTCAGATCCGTCAGTGACATAACTGCCCCATGGTCATCGAAACAAACGGCATTGTCCAGCCCGGGCGCTATAAATGTTAAACACAGGCTCAGGGTTGTATTGGAGTCTGTCACATATCACCATGAGGGTCACTGAAACACTGGTCGTCATTCTGGGGCTTGCCTTGTGCAGCTGTATGGGTCAAGGTTAAACACGGCAACAGGTACAGAGCTTTATGTATTTCAATAATTCGCAATCCTTTCACTTCGGAAATGACTCACAAACCTCAACCAGTTGAGTTCGTCCTATCAGGAACCTTGGCAGAGTTGATTATTGTATGTGCGCGTGTGTTTCAAGGAGCTATTTTTGTATCAGAGGTTTCCATCGGAGATATCTGCACACAAACGTGTAGGGATTACGGTGTGGAATAGCCACCACCGAGAAATAGCTTCACCACAGCCATTTCTAACCAAAATGAATTCATCTGAATGAAGTGCGTTCGTGTATGTATGTATGTATGTATGTATGTATGTGTGTGTGTGTGTGCGTGCGTGCGTGCGTGCGTGCGTGCGTGCGTGTGTGCGCTCGCATGTATGTATGTATGTCTTTGTATTTATGCGAATGCGTGTGTATGTGACCGCATGTGTGCGCGTGCGTGTACGCGCAATACAAAGGATGTCATGAAATCATGACACTCTTGGTCGGTAATTATCACAATGTATCTGGCATCTCAGGGTACGGGGGTGAAGGGAATGACAGTTCTATTCTTTCAGTGAACATATTGTTTTATTTGAATATTATGTATGGAGGGTATATACAAATGTAAATTAATATGAAACATCCACAAATGACTTGTCTGTGTATTTGCAGCGACGCCGGGCACAGGTTTTAAGGAGCAGATGGTCACGTGACCTAGACATCAACGTAACTGTTAAAGAAGCGGCCGCCATTTTGAAATCCAAAGAGAGAATATTCTTCCGATCCTCTGACAGACGGCTGACGGCGTTCAACATCACCCGATCCTACTCCTACATCGACTATAGCAGTGTGAGTACACCAGGAGCCTTAGGCGGTTGGTTAGTTTGTTGTTCAACGCCACAGTCAGCAGTATTCCAGCTATATAACGGCGGTCTTTAAATAATCGAGTCTGGACTAGACAATCCAGTGATCAACAGCATGAACATCGATCTATGCAATTGGGATAAGATGACATGTCAGCGAACCTGACCACCCGATCTCGTTAGTCGCCTCTTAGACAAGCATGGGTTGCTGAAGATCAATTGTAACCCGGATCTTCACGACTGGTCCTTAGTCACAATTGATCACACTGTCATTTTGCACAGTTGGGATGGTTTTTTTGTTGTTGTTGTTTTGTTTTTGGGTTGTTGTTTTTTGTTGTTGTTGTTGTTGTTTCGTTTTTTTGTTTTGTTTTGTTTTTGTTTTGTTTTTTGTTTTGTTTTCTTCTGGGGGGGGTTCGCTAAGCGTCAGTTTGGTGTTTTAATGTTAACAATATTTCAGGTATACTAACGAGTTATATTTTATTAAAAGGGATATAAAAATGTTATATGTTAAACAGTAATACAGTCTGATGTACGTATCTTTGTAGCAGTGTCACCCGAGCCTGTAGGCGAGGAATAACACTGCTACAAAGCGGCGTACATCAGACCGCATTTCCCGAGGGAGAAGTTTACGACTTATTTATCTTACCGCCATGTAAAGTGTACAAAATATCATTGTATTTTATTTTGAAGATCGATAAGCTCGCTTCCGACGATATGACATGTATACTAAATGGCGTCTGCCTCTCCACTGGATTTTTCGAATCAGTCAAACATTCTGACAAGCTTAAAACTGCTATAAAAATGGTTAATTATGTTTAAGTTTAGTGTGCAAACGATGCAATGTATAAAATGATTTAAATAAAACAGTGAATGTGTACTTGGTGAACTCAAAAACAGCTAATCGAACGGTTTTCGACTTCAGTGCACTGCGTGCGTCATATTATGATGTCATACGATTGTTAGCGATACAGCTTCTCGGCGGAGAGTTTGGCGGTTACCGTGGCAGCGGGTAATAATTCTTCCAGTTGTCATCCTCCTGGGAGGAGTAACACGGAAACGTTCTTTTATAAATCGTCATTGACCAATGAAATTAAAGTATTTTACATGAAAGTAAGATAAAGAGTCAGGGAATACAGAGACACAGCTTGCGGGAACGAAATAGTAACACGTCAAGAGTACGGCGGTTTAAATCTATCTCAAATCAAGATAAAATCATACACAGATTGAAGAAGTTTTGTATCAGTTTCTTTTTTATATAACTTCTAAAAATGCCACTCAGAGAAGTACAAAATCGAGATCATATCCTTTCAGACAATAATACTGATAAAGTGATAAAGGCCAAACAGGAAAGTAGTGGAAATATGTTTGACACTGATAACAACAGAGGAAAGAGATGTCGAATAAATTTTTTCTAACCTAAATCATAACGCCTTAACCTGAGGCGAGCATGTATGACTTGTTCCATAATAAACATCAAAGTAGGAGCTTTGTTCAGACTTAATGGCTTTACTTTGTAGTTTTTAATGCTTGCTTTATTTAATTATATGTTTTTGTTACTCTCATTGAGTTTAGTATGTTTTCTTTGAAAATACATGTTTGTTTCAAAATGTTTCCTAAATTATTTATGTCCTTAGGGACTTTTTACTCTATACATCCTTTAATTTATCAGCCCGATGTGTGATGTGAACATTATTTTAGTTATATCACTACGCGTCAACCAGATGTGTGATGTGAACATTATTTTCGTACCTACGAGTGCGAAAATATTGTCATGAACAATGCTATGACGTCACGTTTGTTCCGTGACGTTGCGTTCTACATGCGGTGACGGCGGGTAGCCAGCCTATGTTTGAAAGTAGATTTAGGTTTATTTTCCTCAATTTGACAACCTCGGTAATAAACAGAATATCATATTCGTGCCCATATCATACTATGTTTACGACACTCGTGCCTAAATATCGGCTATCGCTCGGGAAATACCAACATTTAGGCACTTGTGTCGTGAAGATAGTATGACATGGGCACTCATATAATATCCTCTATTTAGTTATATCACAGAAAAAACATCATTATGTGAAATAGTGACCTCAGTTTAGACTGTTCATTCTTAAACACTTACAATAAGGAATACTTGTCCGACAATATCTTTAGTAGCAGCGCAAAGCTAGTCCCAAACTATTTATAACTTGATATAAATTCGACAGCCCAAATGACATCACTTTAACAAACGAGCCCATGTACTTTGAACTTTATCTGAATAATTCTGAAACCGTTTTCACTACGAATGAGCCACAAGTGCTTTGACGCTATGTTTGAAAGAGTAACATTATATAAAGCTGACAAAAAAGTCCCGAATCATAATATTAAGTTCATTAGCTGAGATATTAAATTCGGATTCGTGGTATGACGCAGTTAAGTGTCATGTACGTATATTTACTTCTCTCTATCACACTCTTTAATTTTCATTTACTAGTTCCAACACAAGTCCTATATTACCGATTAGGAGAAAACAAGAGCATATCTACCTGACGACTCCGACCTCCGAGTGTCTGGGCTGCAGGGCTGTACCCAAATGTTTGCTGTATTATCAAAGTGTTGAATATATGGAAATGACAAATTTACATCCTACAGGACTTGATGGTGACTAAGGCCTACGTGTCAGGCAGACGGAAGTGCATCGTTTTACAAGGAAACATCACCAACGACTTCAATACCACCATGAATGACATACTGGCCAGGGAAGGTGAGCTTGTCAACACCCGGTGTCATCGCTGATATTCATAAATCCATTTATATTGATTCAATGGTTCCTATTTCGGGGGTTATTTGTAACTTACATATTGTGTCAAAACGTTGCCGTTGAAAGCATTCATACGAAAATGGTCACTTGACGACTGATTCTATAAAATAGAAAATAAACATTGATATATTGACGCTTTATGAAGATGCGTAGATCGATGCTCATGCTGTTGATCACTGGATTGTCTGGTCCAGACTCGATATTTACAGACCGCCGCCATATAGCTGGAATATTGCAGAGTGCGGCGTAAAACTAAACTCACTCACTCACTCACTTTTGAAAATGCGTATCCCTGTGTTATTGGTATCTTAAATTTTTCTCATGACAATCACTCTTTTTTTACTCAGAAACAGAGGCTAAACGAGACTGTTGAAATCGGCCAATTTGCAATGACATCTGACATTGCGATGACAACTTCAGAGAAAGAAGCCTTTCAGTCTGCCAGTCCTTATCTTGCCAGAAAATGTCTGAAAATGGATATCCTCAATGCAACCGAACCTGCGACTGGTAAGTGTATCCAAGAAGTAGTTTTGCCCAATGACATAATCTGTATCCACACAGAATGTTTTTTTTATTCAGATAGTTACCAACTTACTATGTTCAACAACTGCATTATTTATTTAGAAAACAAAACATTTCTTTTCTTGGTAGAATGTAATCACTTATAGTCGTAGGATAAAGAACAATGGGCGCAATGTGTGAAGCCCATTTCTGGTGTTTCCTGCCGTGATATTGCTGATATATTGCTAAAAGCGACCTAAAACTCTCTCACTCTATATTTTGAATAGTAAATATACTCCACATGCCTTTAAATACTTTAAAATCTAAGCAAAGAGAATGCTATTCAAAGGAATCAGTGACATTATGCTTTTTTACTTTTCAGATATGACAGACACGCTTGATAAGTTTCCATTAACAATTCTTACGGTTAGAGGAAGCGTCACCATCTACGTCAGATCCACATTGAATGCGTTGTCATGAGAATGACAGGTGGTTATATTTTTGTATAAACTGAGTGTATGTATGTGATGTGATGACTTGTGTTTATGTGGCAACAGCGCCAAAACAGTTTTAGAATTTGACCTTATGAGCGATGTTTCTGATGAAAAGGATAATGAAGTATAAAATTGTATTCTAGCTATATCTAAAAACGAACCCGAAACCGTGGCTAGTTTATGATCACATTGTTGAGCCGATAACCTTGATGATCACCCTGTGTTGGCAACAAGAGTAATCGTGTTACAAGTGTTTTTTATTGTGCTCTGTGACCGTGAAGATCCGTTTAGAACTGATCTTCAGCAACCCATGCTTGTCGTAAGAGGTGACTAACGGGATCGGGTGGTCAGGCTCGCTGGCTTGGTTGACACATGTCATCGTATCCCAGTTGCATAGATCGATGCTCATGCTGTTGATCACTTGATTGTCCAAACTCGATTATTACAGACCGCGGCGGTGCGGTACGGTGTTAGACAACAAACCAACCAACCAATCATTCGGTGTTAATTTTCTTATATGAGCTCTACTGTTCCCGAACACACACATCTACAAGAACCTGTAAAACACAGAGGTTAGAGGATATGTTGATATGTACCTGAACTGAATATTGAGAAGGTGAAAAATCTACCTATCTCTATGACACAACGTGGCTGACGGTTCGTTTGAGACAGCGAGTCCTGTTAAGTACATTTATGACGAACTAACACACATACCGAACTAGTTTTCTTCCTGGTCACTGGCTGTATCTTTTAATCGAAATGGGGCAGTATTTCCGCTTTGTGCCAGATGTACCTGTTGTGGAACAGGTAGACATATTCAGTACATATACATCTGACAATGAAATTATCAAAAATTTGCTCGTGTTGAAAAAAAGAATTCACAAGGACACAGACTTACTAACGCATGTAGTATACTACGTGTACACCGAGCACTCTTTTAAAACGGATATAACGAACTGTTTCTGTCCTGGCCACTGACTGTATGTTTTAGCCGAAATACTATAATAAACTTCTATTACAACGAACTCACGGGAACACGAATATTAATTCGTTCAAACTGAAACATGAGTCTCATTAATCTATTCAAACAATGACCTACTTTTCAGCCGATCCGAAGTTTCTCGTGTGAAAGTGTAAAGAGACTCCACAAACAACTGTGGTAACACTGATTTCCAATTCTTTGTTACGTAAGAAAACTTTAATAACATCGTATTTCTATATTTTATGGCGAGGGGTTGTCAGCATGACTTTAACTAAGACGTCACAGACTGCCCATGTTAGATGAGGTCGTAAAATGATTCACATTTCATCTGGCTCACTGGTTACACCTGTTATGTGTTCTTTGTGCTACATGGGGCGGTGGGGTAGCCTAATGGTTAAAGCGTTGGCTCGTCACGCTGAAGACCTGGTTCGAATCCCACATCGGGACAATGTGTGACGCCCATTTCTGGTGTCCCCGCTGTCCCCTGCTGGAATATTGCTAAAAGCGGCGTAAAGCCAAACTCAGTAGGTCAGTCTTTGTGCTAATTAAGTGTAGTTTTGTAACGCACAATGCGATTGATATAATATCGAGTCCGTACCAGATCGCCAAACCTTTCTAGCGGCAGAGCCTCGTTTTGAGATTACCACGATTTCCAGATTTCCGTTTGTCAGAGCACGCTGTACAACAGTGCACGCTGCACGACGTGTTTGTAAGAATTAAACGAAGCGTAGCGTTGCAATATACAAGTGCTTAGATGTACCAACTAATACTGACTAATATTATATGTATCTAGTTGAATGAATTGGTCTCAACATTCTGGACTGGTTATTATACTATGTTGCGCAATAGGACGAAACCCAGTCAGCAGGAAACGAGACTGTTGTGTAATGAATGGTTTGACTTGTAGCCGTAGTTTTGGCTAAAATATACAGAAAGTGGCCAGGGCAGAAACAGTTCGTTACATCCGTGTGTTGGTTGTACCGAATGACGAACTAATCTCCGTGTTCCCTCTGAGTTCGTTATAACGGTAGTTCACCGTATTTACGTCAGACTCACTTTCATTATAACACATGAATACTTTCACGTCGCTTTCTAAAACGTTTGCTTATTTCTCAAACCAAGCAGGTCATATGACATTCTCCCCACCATTATGTTGTACATCATACATGTTGACTGTGAAGTGTGGGATGCAAATAAAGAGGTCAACCAAAGAACATTGTTGTTGTTGTATCCATTCCATGACGTCAGCATATGGTCACATTTTAGAAAGAAAGTTAAGGATGACTTAGACGTGCAGGTTCCAAGTCAATGCAGAATGTTAACAACTGAAAAATATCATTTGATTATCTGCAACGATTGCAGTTGAACGTGAATGCAAGAACAGTCATTTTGGTGACAATTATATCTATATGAATGAATCCCTGAAAATCGGTTATGACACCAGATATTCGCGAAATCGATAAGTCACTATTGAACATCAGTTGCTTGACCATCCTCACAAACATGTTGCTTTTGTATAAAGAGGAAGGAGCTCTGAATATTGCATGAATGGATCACTTACAATCACTTATGACATCACAGATTCGCGGAAAGCGTAATTCTCGCCATAAAATATGTTGTGAAGTCAAGTCCATGAACAGTATGCTGGAATGTTCTGATGAATATCAAATACACCTGTCAGTGAAATCTGTCAAAACCGGACTCTGTGTAATCCGATTTTCTCCATAATCCGGACTTCTCTCTGAGTCCCGGCCAAATTGTTCTTAATTTATCATTAAAGCGTGCTTTATAATCCGGACTCTCTCAGTTACGGATTACAGACTAAAATAACAGTCCCGACAATGCACTTGTATGAGAACAATGCAATCCGGACGTAGCTGACTAAAATAACAGTCCGTTGAATAAACATCTCTGTTATTCTGTTCACAATGGTTAATGACTGAAAACATTGTATTACGTGGAAATTTACAGAGGCTGAATCAATTCATGTTAACAGACTTTTTCCGATGAAAGTATAAACAATATATTGAGTATAAATGAAAAACAAAGTAGAGCGATTCAAGACGTTGGTTGTCCAAAGGGAGGTAACCCCATCCTGGCAGTGGGGATAGTAACGGACAAAGTTGTCTACTCCTGACTACTTTGCAATCCGGACAAATGAGTCAGTCCCAGGCCAGTTCGTAACAGAAGAGATTCCACTGGAAATGGCTGTGCTGGTACTTACATGATTTGACTTATGTTTGCGATGTATTGGTGACAGAGTCTTGGGACATGACAAATGAGTGGCTAAAGTAGTAAACATTTAACACAGGATTACTCTGGTGACACCACAGCGTTCCGGGGCCTATTTACCAGTAAGTTCGCTATGGATCATTAAACATCACTGTGTGTTTTCATTTCTACTGTATGTCGGGTGGGCGGTGGGTAGCCTAATGGCTAAAGCGTCTGGGTTCGATTCCCCACATGGGTACAATGTGTGAAGCCCATTTCTGGTGTCTCCCGCCGCGATATTGCTGGAATATTGCTAAAAGCGGCGTAAAAACATACTCACTCACTCACTAGAAGCCGCGAACTTACATCCGTGAAAATTGAATGTTTAGATCTTTTGCTGAGAGTGTCCGTCTGTCATATTCGGAATTTCATATTTTCATGTCTCAGGATTGATAAATTGTTCAACCTCACTATACCAATTCAATGGTTAATGCATTCAATATCTTGAACACAAAAGAATACCCTGTTTTAAACGAACGACACATAACTAATTCATGCTCTGATTCATGGGATGCCCTGAAGTTGTGTCATGCGCAGAACACCATATGGTCTAGTTACATAATGAGCTGGAAGCAAAATAGCCATTCACCATTCAAATACATGACGCAAGCTTAAGGTGTTCCATTGTTCCCAGATGAAGGTAAAACTGGAAAAATACATTCATGTTTTTAAACACATTTCATCA